AGCTCACAGATGGGACAGAGGGAGAAAGAGTTTCTGTAATACACCGCACTATTAGTGTCGCCTCCCGTGACTTTATAGAAAGCAGATTGAGTTTTTGTCTTATCTGTGCAACTCCATATGGTCAACTCTGGTTGTATCGAGGACCTCATAAAAAAAAAAGTCTGTTCTCTAAGATAATTTGTGGCTAATAGCGCAAGTTCCTCCATCTTCGGGGTTCTGTGTGCTCTGCTCAGATAATCAAATGAAGTGTTTTTGTTTGCAGTGACAGGAGACGTAATTTTCTACTCTAATTAATTTCTTTCCACGCCAGTAGTCTGACAACAGAGCTTTACGCATGCCCTCTTTCACCACACTGAACACAGGATGAAGGGGGTTGGGGGTGTGAAAGTAAACCCGCTCGGTCCAATGCGTTTCTTACAGTATGTTATGGAATTAATCCTTACATTGTTCAATAGATTACAGTGATGCAAGATTATACTGTGTATTAGGAAGAATAAAATTATCTACAGTTTATGTATCGGAAAAACAGCAGCAGAATTTATGTATGGCTCTTTGCTCAATATACCAACCAACATAAGATCATTTGCTTCGTTTGATACAGATTAGAGACAGAAGGCTTTCTGGTAATTTTAATCATTATAAAGCTGGCAGATAAAAAAAAAAAGGAAAATTAAACACATGAAGCTGATTATTTTTCATATGTTAAATATTCATAGCCTCACAATATTAATGTTTTTAAATATTGTTAGTTCATTTTTGGATAATGGCACATTAAACAGTGTGTTAATCTTCCAGCTTTTGTTTTGGTTAAATATGCATTTATTTCTAACTTAAAGGGTTAATGCTGGTTCTGTCAGTTCTAATTATACAGTCATTCATCTCATTCCAGAGAGAGCTTGACAAGTGCATCATTAAATAATTATGCATTATAATTAATGCGAGAATAAATAAAGAGTGACTGATTTGATCAGCTTGTCTTCACAATTGGACATGAATGGCAAAAAACCATGAGTGAATGTTTGATAAATGAGTAATCTTTGTAAATATTTCAAAAACAAATATTAATAGAATATATGCGGGATTATTCACAGTTGATTATTTCAGGAGAGAACATTTAATACTAAATTTAAAGGGATAGTTCATACAAAAAAGTTGTCATCATATAATCTCCCTCATATCGTTTCAAACCTATAAAACTTGAATGAAGATTATTTTAATGACATATGAATTCCATTTGAATCGAGCTGTTAATTCCAAGTTTGCTGAAGGGACACAGTTGCTTTGTAGAGTACTTTATGTGAAAAGTTAGCCATGACTGTATTCACAGTACAGACTTAAGTTTTTTATTTTATTAAGTCATTCATCAATCATCCTTCCATTGTACAGTATATAGTCTCTTATATTATCATGCAACAAAATCTGTTATGGGATCTGCACAGTGATATGGTGAACAGGAACACACAGGATCATGGCAGGAACGTTGTACTAAACATAACGAAACATTTGCTAATTGTGGGGAACATTTTAGTCTGTCATTTAGTGGAGTTTGCTTAGTTTGCAGTAATTTGTGGATAGTTATGTCACATCCTTTCAAGTAACCCTAGTAAAAAAAGGAAGATATAGTACAAAGTATAGTATATTCCTACTAACTACACTAAGTATAGTTCAAATGTATTAATACATTAACTGACATATTGCTCAAGACTTTATTTTGAATACTACTTGTGTTTTAATATCACTACTGATGAGGATTATATGATCTTTGAATATACACAATGTACTTCAGTATATCTTTAGAAGCACTACTACTAAGTACAAAATCAGTTGTTCCAATTTAGCAGACTTTAAGTATACCAGTT